CCAGTCTCTTCAATCATGTTCACACGTGCACAATGCATGTGTATACCCATGTGTGAGTTTCTGGCAAGGAACATGTGTGTCCTCAGCTCCCTCCCATATGAAGCTGCAGTTTCCACTAAATATAACCCCCTCCCCAGCCAGTGACTCACCCGGACCCCGCCTCCCCCAGCCCCCACTTCCTGTCCCACCCCCCAGCCCCCAGCTGCCTGCCACCCGCCCAAGCCTCCCTCCACACACCAGGCATCCAGCTTGCCAATCTCAGAGTCTGGGAGCAAAGGATCTAAGCATCCTACCAGAAGCTTGCTTGGGATCCTCACCCAAGATCTCCTACCCTTTCCAGGTTCCAACCACAGGGACACCCTTGTACCCTGTATGGATCCTCAGACTGCCAACCCTGCCCTCCTCCAACGCCTTTTTATCCCGGTAGCCTCTTCACCCCATAAGTCCTCAGAGATCCTTATATCCAGGTGTCCTCCCGAGAGTCAGGAATGATAGTCCCCTCCATCTGTTCTTTTTCTTGAGCAGGGCTAGATGCAGTGTAGGAGATGGGAATACTGGGCACCTGCCTGGGCCACCCCCAAATTTTGTACCACCCACATGGTCCCTTCATCAAATCCCTTCTCTCCCGAAACCTCTCATCCTTCTCAGGGGCTGGCAAGCTCAGTTTTGCAACCTTCTAGCTCCCATGAGAGTACCCCAAATCCTAACCTCACCTGATCCATTCTCTCAGGTGATTCTATGCCAAGCCCCAACCCTCTGACAACTCCCAAATCTCTCTATTCCATATAATTAAACCCTAAATTAACAGTTCTTTCAAATCAGGAACATCCCAAACATCCACCTCAAGATGCTTCCTCTATAGCCTGAAGGCCCACCTCTTCCCTGCCAGCTGACACCCCCAGGCAAGCCAAACACAACCAGTAACCTTTACACCTCATGCCAAGAGGCCCCCAAAATTGAACAAGGCACCTGGAAGCCAGCGTTTTCCCCCAGGAAGGAAAAAGAACACACACACACACACACACACACACACACACACACGCACACACACAACCCACCTTCCCACATACATGAGCAGGACTCCCATGTGAGCTAGGCTTCTCCTTAAATAAATTGCCCTCAAGCACTGCTGGTGAACCCCAAAGCCCACTAAGTCACCCCAAACAGCAAATTCTCCATTTCTCTATAGGTATAAAAGGAACACTCTAGGTGGCACCTGTGGCCAAATTTAACGTTTTCTCAGATGTGAACCCCAAAACTAAATTGTGACCCCTCTAATACATCTTACTTCGGATGCTCTCAGTCCTAGATAAGGCCTACCTAACCCTCCCCACAAATTCATTACCTCCCCCCTCCCCTGTTGGCCTCCCCCATATCAAGCTTACCTTGGTTGTCACTATACAGAGACAGTCCATGTTGGGGGGCCTGGCCGCGGCGGCGGGTAGGGGGCTCTGACTTCATTGGAGTTTTGTTCCTCCCCTCGGTGGGTTCTCACCCCTCCCCCCTCCGCACCCCACTTTTGCAGGGGGGGCCAGGATGGGGGGAGGGGTGAGAGGGGAAGGAGAGGGTTGGAAAAGGGAAGGGGAGGGGAGCGTGGAAGGGAGGGGGGCCCTAAAAGGGGCTCCCCAATGGAAGGGAGGGGGATTGGGGAGCACACTCTGATTCTCAGGAGGGGCAGGGGCACCGGGGGCTGGTAGCCCCGGAGTTCGGGGGCTGGGGCATGAGCTGGAATGGGGGAGGGGAACTGGATTTCAGGAAGCCCCGGGGTATGGGGGGGGTTTGCCAAACGGCCTGGGGCTAGGGGCCGTGGCGGGGGAGTGGGGTGGGGGGGTTAGAGACGGCAGCGGCCGAGGGAGCCGTGGAGCCGAGGAGGGAAGGGGAGAGAGGAGGAGAGAGGAAGCAGGGGAAGGGAGGGAGGGAGCTAGGAGCCAGAATGGGGGGGGGGGTGCCTTGGCAGTGTTAACTCCTTCGCTGCTGGCAGGAACCCGGATAATGGGATAGAAGCAGAAGCAGAGGCCGTAAGGCAAACATGGAGGCCTGGCTAGTCTCCAGTGATGACAGCAAAGACAAGGAGGATGGCTTTCGTTTCTTAGAGGAGGAAACACCACAGTTGGGTTGGGAGCATCCATGGTGGTTAAAGTACTGGAGGGAGGCCATGGCAGAGGGTAGGATGTGAGGGAGGGGCTGACAGCAGGGCCTCCTGGGGATCTACTTCTTCCCTAGGCAGCACAAGAAGAAGCCTGGAAAGTAATTATGGCCTGGACTCTTTAGTGCTGCAATTGGGACAGATCAAAAAAAGGGGAGTAAAAAGGGGTACAGGCTGACTGACCACAGAAAGTGCATTCTCAGTGCCCTCAACCCTTTGGACAAAATCCTGACTCAGGATTTTGTCACCAAGGTCCCCTGGTCTTATTTTAACCTTAGCAAAAATGTGTGCATCCCTCCAGTCCTGTCCTCTCCCTCGGGAAGCCAGGTACCCACCCTCACCTCTTTACCTGGCTCTCTGTGATGCAAGCCTCATAATAGTCCAGGATATCTGTCACAGGAACAGAACTAAGTCACCCTCCCACACCCCAGGCTTCTCTGGTCACCCCGCCACCATGGCTTCCATTTGTCAAAAGAGAAACTCCTCTAGTCAGACCAATGGATGCTGATGGAGGGCACTGTAGGGATGAACTTTCATGGGGGTTCACTCCAGCTTGGCCCAAATGCTCAGGATCCCAACCAGCCCAGAACTGCAGTACTTGACCTCACAGGCCCAGACCAACACTTTCCACTCTGGCCCCTCAGAACCCTGGGGTTACTCAGCCAGCAAGGCCTGAAAAAAGTCACTGTGCAGCACTGTGAGGAGGGGAGGTGCCCACCGCAATAGTGGGGGGGGGGGGCTGGAGCCAGAGGGCTGACGTGGGAGCTGATAAGTGAAAGAGGACTGAGACCAAGACACTAACACACTCAGTCACCTCAGCTTTCCCAGCCTTTGCTCTTTCACTCCAGACCCCATGGAAAGATTCAAGGAAAGAAAGAGCACTGAATCCCAGCCCCCATCACACATTCAGGACTCCTCTCCAAAGACCCACTTTTTCACCTCTTGGTCTCTGGGACATAGCTCTCTTCTCTCACTTTAATCTCCCTAATCCACAGGGATTGGAGCTGAGCTGCCTTCTCTCCACCCAGTTGTAGCTGATAGGTAGACTGTTGGGCTCACTGTTCCATTCTTCCCCAGGTCCCTGCAAGAGCAGGTCCCACCAACACCACCTTGCTACACATACTGTGCCTCCCCAATGACAGGCATGATTTAGCTTTCCTGAGGTGTGGAGAAGAGGGTTTCTCCTAAGAAAGCTCTAGCAACTCAGGAAGAACTAACCTGAGCTAACCTAAACCAGCTCTTCCTCCTCTCAGGCCTGACCACAGTACAGAAAGAGGGGTATAAATTTCTTGGAACTTCTTTAGATTTTGTTGTTCTTGTTGAGACAGGGTCTCCCTGTAGACCCGGCTGGTCTGGAACACGCTATGTAGTCCAGGCTGACCTCCATCTCATAAAGATCCACCTGCTTCTGCCTCCCATGTGTTGGGATTCAAGGCAAGTGCCATCATGCCAAGCTTTATATCGATTTTTTTAAATTGTGTGTGGGAGGCTGGAGAGATGGCTCTGCGGTTAAAAACACTGACTGCTCTTGCAGAGGACTCGGGTTTGATTCCCAGCACCCACATGGCCCCTAACAACTGTCTGTAACTCCAGTGCCACAGGATCTGACGACGTCTTTGACCTATGCAGGCACTGCACGACACTGATGCACCTACTTACATGCAGGCAATACACAATAAACATAAAATAAAAATAAAATTTTTAAAACGTGTGTGTATGAGTGTATTGCCTGCATGTGTGTAAATGCACCCATGTTGCACAATGCCCGCGGAGGTCAGAGGAAGGCGCTGGAGTCCCCTGGAATTGGAGTTGCAGATGGTTCTTAGCCCCATGTGGGTGCTGGGAACTGAACCTGGGTCCTCTGCAAGAGCAGCCAGTGCTCTTAACCGCTGAACCAGCTCTCCAGCACTATTTCGATTTTTTTTTTTTTTTTTTTGGTCTTTTTTTTGAGACAGGGTCTCCCTGTAGCCCCAGCTGGCCTGGAACTCACTATGTAGACCAGGCTGGCCTTGAACTCACAGAGATCCGCCTGCCTCTGCCTCCCGAGTGCTGGGATTAAAGGAGTGCGCCACCACGCCCAGCCTCCTATTTCGATTTTTAAGAGTCTCACTGTGTGGCCTCAAACTCAGGGATCCTCCTGCCTCCCAAGTGCTAAGATTACAAGCATGAGCCACCAGGCCACACCGTGCCCAGCTTTCCTGGGACTTCCTGACCTAGAGCTATAGAAGCGAGGGGTGGGACTGTGAAGAACCCTCTGTCCAGAGGTCTAGCCAGGTCTGGAAGAATCAGAGGACAGAGAAAATGTTCAAGAAGCTCCCAAAGGCTTTAGGGAGAGGCAATGAAAAGGAGGAGACTGACTCCCACGGCGCTCTTTTAAGTGTTTTGAGTTGATGACCTCTTAGGTCTTAGAACTTGCTTAGAACATTCTTTAGCTTGACTCTGACACCCCATCCCCCTCTTCTTTATTTGGTGAAGGCATTTCCCGAATAAGCCAAAGAATCATCTTTCATGCCTCTGCATCTGCCATCAACCTTAATCGTCTCTTTTCCACTTCTCCCTTCTAACTCCAACTGGGAAGTCCTCCCTCCAGTCCACCTCCATCTCCGGCTGCCCTTAAACTCTTCCATTTTCCGCCCATCCTATTTCACTTCCCCTTTAGCGGACTAGACTAATGCAGACCCTGTAGTTCAGACTCGCGGGACCAACCCGAGTTTGGGGTTGAAAAAGGATGCTTGAAGACGGATCGCTCTAGGTCAGTCAGAATGCCGGGACTGGGGGCGCCCGGAACTTCAACTCCCAATATGCCTCGGGACCTGGAACCCCGCCCCCGCCCACCACGTGGTGCATTGTGGAGGATGAGTCAGGGCCGGTACACACCAGCCCGGAGCCGGCCGGACGCAAGCGGGAGGTCGGCGGTCAAGCCTGCACCAGCCAGAGCGACGTGAAGATGCAGTCCGCTCTGATAAGCTGGAGAGTGGGACGACCGCTGCTGAGGCTGAGGGGCCGAAGGTCTGTGTACGGTGGGAGGCACGGGGGCAGTGGGCTGGGAACCCGGCCGGGACTGAACCCCCCACTCCCCACAGCTCGCGGCCCAGTACGCTCCTGGGGCAGCCCCGGCCTGCTCCCGCCCCGAGACCCTATGCCAGCGGGGCCGCTCAAGTAAGTGACAGCGGTTTGGGGAGAGGGGTGCAGAAAGAGTTCTGCCTCGGATCCCAGTACCCCGCAACCGACAGGGGTTTCTCTTTGTCCCAGTCACCCGGTGACAGCTCTGGCTTCGGAAGTAGGTGAAAGGGCAAGCCAGGGTGCCTTAGTAACTAGGGGAAAGGCATCGTCTAACCACTCAATTCCCAGAGCCAGCTCTTCCCCTGGGCACACCCGAACTTATCTCCAGCCTAGCTAACACTCACTTTCCCCAGGCCGTTCTGGACAAGCCAGATTCCCTCTCTGACGCTTCCACTAGAGAAAAAGCACCTGTAAGTGACTGGGGAGGCTGGGTTGACCTAAGTCAGGGGTAGACCCACTCCAAACAGATCCCTGAAACTCCTTTCTTCCCTGCCCAGGAGTCTAAATCCTTTGCTGTGGGGATGTTCAAAGGCCAGCTCACCACTGATCAGGTGTTTCCATACCCGTCTGGTAAGCAAAAGGGTAGCCAATGCAGGGTGTGGACAGGGTAATCTTCCTACAGTCTCACCTGATGGGCCTGTTCTTCCCCTTTCCACCACCGCAGTGCTCAATGAAGAACAGACACAGTTTCTCAAAGAGCTGGTAGGGCCTGTGGCCCGATTCTTTGAGGTAAGGAATGACAGGAGCCCAATATCTCATGAGGTGGGCAGATATTAAGGAATCTGAAATCTGAATATGAGGTACTACTCTTTCTCCAGGAGGTGAATGATCCTGCGAAGAATGACACCCTGGAACGTGTGGAGGAGACTACTTTGCAGGGCCTCAAGGAATTAGGGGCATTTGGTCTGCAAGTGCCCAGTGAGCTGGGTGGTGTGGGCCTGTGCAACACCCAGGTTAGAGAAGCCTCCTTGTTACCTCACTAGTATCCCACCTAGCTCAGCTAGGCAGATTCAGCTTCCTCAACACTAGAGCCAAGCAGATGGCTAGGGGGATCATGTCCCTACTGAAGCTCTCAGCTGTGCACACATCCATCAAAACATGACCTGTGTGCAGTCCACTAGGACCAGAATTCCCAGTCTTTAGGGACTGTGGCAGTAAGGTAGTAGGCAACCTTCCCACCAAGACCTAAGACAGATACCAGCCAGTATCCTTTGATTTCCTGCTCCTTCTTCTTAGGGATGGAGCCCCTGGGCCTCACATATGCCAAGCAAACATACTTCCTCTGAGCTATGTTGCCAGACCTCCTGTGATTTCTAAAAATGTCTGTGTATTGCCTGCATGTATGTGAATGCACCTATGTCGTGCAATGCCTCGGAGGTCAAAAGAGGGCTTTGGATTCCCCTGGAACTGTAGTTAAGGACGGTTTGTAGCTGCCATGAGTGCTGGGAATCAAACTCAGGTCCTCTGTAAGAGCAGTCAGTGCTCTTAACCCGAGCCATCTCTCAGACCCCCCAGTGTTTTTTTAGACGCCACTTCCCTTCTACATGCTCACAGTGGAGATGGCCCAGGTGAAACCCTGTTGCCCACTTTCTCCTGGGGAGGAGGTTCCATGTAGCCAATTCCAGCCCCAGATGCCTGCTTCCCCTCCAGTATGCTCGCTTGGCAGAGATCGTGGGCATGCATGACCTTGGAGTGGGCGTTACCCTGGGGGCTCATCAGAGCATCGGCTTCAAAGGCATCCTGCTCTTTGGCACAAAGGCCCAGAAAGAAAAATACCTCCCCAAAGTGGCATCTGGTAAGGCAACCCTGAGACCCAGGGGTTGGGGGTAATGCTGTCCAAAGTGTAACAGAACTGCCTGGAGGTGGTGTGAAAGGAACATCACTTGGATGGTCATCAGTATTCCAGGTAAAAAAAGAGTTCTCTGCCCAACAGGGGAGGCTTTGGCTGCTTTCTGTCTAACTGAGCCCTCAAGTGGGTCAGACGCAGCCTCCATCCGAAGCTCAGCTGTACCCAGCCCCTGTGGAAAATATTATACCCTCAATGGAAGCAAGATTTGGATCAGGTAATCTCCCTTCTCCTTTCTTCCCCAATTCCAGATCCCACTGCTCTGGGCCAACCCTCATACTAATCACTTGTTTCCACAGTAATGGGGGCCTGGCAGACATTTTCACCGTCTTTGCCAGAACACCAGTTAAAGATGCCACAGGAGCCATGAAAGAGAAGATCACAGCTTTTGTAGTAGAAAGGAGCTTCGGAGGTGTTACCCAGTGAGTGGGGTTGGGGAGGAAAAGGTAGAATTAAGGAAAGGGGCTACATGAGGTTCTAGAAGTGGTTGATATAGGTCACACTAGGGATATGTTTGAAAATCACAGGAGGTAGGCAGCTTGTTTCCTTTGAAGGGACACAGGGTAGCAGGACATAGCCAGACCTCTGTAGGGCATGTGGGCAGTACCTGTACCCTCTAGTCTGGGGAGCTCCTACCTGATCATAAGGACTGGAGAGACCATTTTCCCCCATGGCAACCTGTTCATACCTCAACTTTCCTGACCTGCCTTGTCAGTGGGCCTCCTGAGAAGAAGATGGGCATCAAAGCATCGAACACAGCAGAAGTAAACTTTGATGGAGTGCAGGTACCCTCAGAGAATGTGCTAGGAAAGGTGGGGGACGGCTTCAAGGTTGCTGTGCACATCCTCAACAATGGACGATTTGGCATGGCTGCAACCCTTGCAGGCACTATGAAAGCCATCATTGCCAAGGCAGTGAGTATTCTGCCTGTGTCCCTGGCTAGCCTGAATGAACACTTTCTCCCCCTTTCCATGTATCCCTGTTCCTTGGAGACAACACTCCCTCCACTAGAGACCCTTCCCCTGCTGGCAGTCCCAGACCTACTAGATTGGGTCTTCATCCAGCACAAATAGAACTGGCTGCCCATCCACCCAGCCCAAGCCCAGAGGGATACTGCAAAACCACAAGCAGGACACATGTGCCCTCTTCCTAGGTTGACCATGCTGCTAATCGTACCCAGTTTGGGGACAAAATCTACAACTTTGGGCTGATCCAGGAAAAGCTGGCCCGGATGGCTATGTTGCAGTATGTGACTGAGGTAAGGACCTCCTATGGCCCTTTCCCTGGAGGTCTACAGCCTTCTTCACAGTCGGGTCAGACTACAACGCCCAGCAGCACCTGGGGCAGTGGGTCTCCAGCTTTACACCAATGCCCTAGGGGATGCGAGGAGGCATAGTCAGTTCAACTTCTGAAGGGGAAGAGTGATGCTGTTCTGCTAAGGTGCTTCCCAGATGTACCAGTTATTAATTCTACCCCACCCCATATGAAACATCTAAAGGCCTGGAAGCCTCTTAATATACCAACTCTGAGGACCAAATATAGATGGAAGTGTTTAACCTGCCCATAGTTAGATAAGATGAATTCAAGGGCCATGGAAGACTAGATCAGACCCAATCTTGGAGATTTGGGTATTAAGGTCCTATCTGATGCAGCTCCTTTCTGTTTTCTTTCTCATGTCCCAACATACCCCCTTAGTCCATGGCTTACATGCTGAGTGCCAACATGGACCAAGGATCCACAGACTTCCAGATAGAGGCTGCCATCAGCAAAATCTTTGGTTCGGTGAGGACCCAGGCATAATTGGAGGAGTCCAGTTTAGGAACTCAGCTCCAAAACCATTCTCATCTGGTTCTCTGTCCCTAGGAAGCAGCCTGGAAGGTGACAGACGAATGCATCCAAATCATGGGAGGCATGGGCTTCATGAAGGTACAGAATGTTCCTCCGGAAAGTGCAGCTGGACAGAGTGGACAGGCACATCTCAGCAGAGGTTTACAATGTTTTCCCCCGTGCTAGGAACCTGGGATAGAGCGTGTGCTTCGAGACACTCGCATTTTCCGGATCTTTGAAGGGACAAATGACATTCTTCGGCTATTTGTGGCTCTTCAAGGCTGTATGGTAAGAGGAAGAAGAATCAGAGAGAGGGCCTGGAAAAGACAGTGAATCCTTGACTACTAGACCTTCTTTCCCCACAGGACAAAGGAAAGGAACTCTCTGGGCTTGGCAATGCCCTGAAGAATCCTCTTGGAAACGTTGGCCTCCTGCTAGGAGAGGCAGGGAAACAGCTGAAGCGGTAAGCTCAGGGGCCAGGGTCAAGGGAAGACACGATGGTATGTAGCAACTAACCAGTCATTCTTCCACTTTCTCCCAGACGGACAGGGATGGGCAGTGGCCTGAGCCTTGAAGGAATTGTCCACCCAGAGTTAAGTCGGAGCGGTAAAATGGTTAGTAGTCAGTCCTTCCTTAAGAGCAGAGCCTGCAGGCAGGGGCTGGTGGCCTCTTCTGAGCTCTATGACTCTTGTCTCACAGGCAGTACAGGCTCTGGAGCAGTTTGCCACTGTAGTGGAAGCCAAGCTGATAAAGCACAAGAAGGGGATTGTCAGTGAGTGAGCTCTCCCCTGCCCCCACCTCCTTTAGCTCCTGCCACATTCCCTCCCTCAAGACTAACAACGCCCACCCTCACCTATCTGACAGATGAGCAGTTCCTGCTGCAGCGCCTGGCAGATGGAGCCATTGACCTCTATGCCATGGTGGTGGTTCTTTCCAGGTAAGAAGGCAGGGTGGGAGGCCTGGGAGGTCTGAGCCAGAGTGGATGGGCCAGCACCACAATTCAGGATTACCTTATCTACTTGCTTCCTGGCAGAGCTTCAAGATCCCTGAGTGAGGGCCACCCCACATCCCAGCATGAGAAAATGCTCTGTGATAGCTGGTGTATTGAGGTGAGCCTCAGAGCTACCCAGTACAGGTGGGCACTTGAGGCACAGACTTAACCCTTTGTTTCCCTCTCCCCAGGCTGCAGCCCGGATCCAAGAAAGCATGACTGCCCTGCAATCTGACCCTCTGCAGCAGGAGCTCTTCCGTAACTTCAAAAGTATCTCCAAGGCTATGGTAGAGCGTGGTGGCATGGTCACCAGCAATCCTCTTGGCTTCTGAATATTCTCAACCAGGCCTGGTCTAGTTACGTGCCTTCTCTCAAGCCAAAACATAGGCCTCCTTTGTGGAGGCCCTAGTTTGTCCTGTAGCGGACTTTGTGCTCCCAGTGTCTGTGCTTGCTCTCAGGAGTACTTACTGCCTCAAGGATAAACTTTCTATCAAGTCATACTTTGCTACTTTTATCTCACTCAGTTCTTTCCCTCTACTGCCTGCCTCCCTCCCAAAGAAAGGAGCCAGTGGCTTGGGGAGTTTGCCTCTATTGCTTTATTTGGTATTTTATACAAGTGACTAAAATAAATAGCGTAACAAAGGCAGCTATACGGCCCCCAAATACCCCAGCAGCTTCCTTGGACTGCTGTCTAGGGTACCCAACCCACCCCCTTCTCTTCCCAGGGTACCACTAACCACCACCCACCCTCAGTGAAAAAGCTGACTAGGTAACTGGAGGTGGTGGTCACATTCTGGGGTTCAAAGGGACCAGGAAATGGGGATTCTTCATATAAAAAAAAAGTCTATTAAAAAAATATTCCCCCAAATATAAGGAAGTCTATTTTACCACCCCCCCAAAGGCTTATTAAAAAAATAAAGCTAAAAATAACCAAAGGTCACTGTCTACCCCTGAGGAAGGGGAAGGACCAGGCACTGCTGGCAAAGAGTCACAGTGGCAATAATCTTAAGGTAGGGCAACAACCACTAGGCTGAGTCCAGGCACTTCGAGGAGCACCAAATAAAACTGGACAGGCCAAGGGCATGGATCCAACATGGCCCCAAGGTGGGCTTTACATAACATCTACAAAAAACTCACTGGGGTTACCCATAGCCATGTGGAAGCTCTGGCGGCTAGCTGTCAGTTCTGGGGGCACAGAGCCCAGGTCCCTGACTGGAGGAGCACCAGGGGGCTGCACTGCTGTAGGGACAGGGGGTGGGGGTGGGGGTGGAGGCATCATGACTACCATCATGGGGTTATAGGGGAGAGCCATACCAGGGGGAGGTCCATAGGGATGGAGTCCTGGAAGGGCTCGGAGATTGGGAGCACCCCCTGTTGAGCCCCTGGATGGAGGAGGACCCCCATCACCAGTCCCACTAGGTTCCCCACCCCGCCGAAGGCTGCCTCCCCGGCTAGAGAGCTCAGACTCACTGCCACTACCAGACTTCGACTCAGGAGCCCGTTCCTCGGGCCTCCCTGTGCGCCCAGCACCCCCATCGCTTCTTGTTGACCCACTGCTCCGGCTCCCTGTGAGGGGAAAGGGGATGGGGCAAGTGAGCCTCAGCCCAGGGTACTCTGGCTTTCCTAGCCCCGCTCAAGCCTCCCCCCTGAACCACCTCTATGTGGGAGTGACTTACCCTCACTGTGCTGGCTGCTGGCACTGCCTCCACCATAGGTGTAAGATGAAAGCTCATGGTAGGGTGGGGGTTGGGGGCTGTAGGGGTGCGGGGCTGGGTATTGGTAGGAAAAGGTGGGTAGCAGGGGCCAGGGGGTAGCCCCAGGCAAAGGAGCCAAGGTATCCTGGTCTGAAGCCCCACTGGAACCATCATTGTCATTCAAAGACAGGTTAACTAGGTCTGGAATATAAGGGAAGAGAATTTGTTGCTTTAAGAGGCCAGGACTCCCAAGAACGGAGAGAAACTGGGAACTATTTCTCCAGAGCCACCCACCACGGGAGGTTCAAACAGATTACAATGGCACTAAATAGAGAACTCTGCTACTAGGGCAAAGACACAACCAGGGCCACCACTACTAGTCCAATATGCTTTGTGAGACTCAGGAAGAGGCATCCTTTTCCCCAGGAATACAGGTCTGCAAATGGTAAATGGCTATACACCAGTAAGTACATGGGCAAAGACACACTACCAGTGAAAGGCCAAGTACAGGACATACAGTGCCTGACTATCCATGGTAGCCTTGGCTAGTTTCTGGACCAATACAGGAGTTAGAAAGGCAGGCCAACCTGCTCTCCTTCTACAGCCAGGGCTGGTGACTTACAACTCTCACAGCCACCACTGAGGTCCCCGAAGACATAATAGCACTGCTCAGAAAAAGTGATCTTGTTCACAGTGTGTCGGATAAGGCCTGCCTTCAACAGCCCGCTGGCATACTTGCGGGCCTCCCGGCGCTCAGGAAAACCCTCCACGTGATGGTATAGCCAGTCGACCACATCTGAGCCTGAGATCAACCAGAGTGGAAAAAGTACTCAGATTCGCCTCCCAACTCCTCCTCCCCCCACCCCTGCCTGTGTCATTCCCAGCTTCCGTCTCCTCTTCCCATTCCCATCCACCTTGCTCAGGGCCTGGCAATGCCTACCTAGAAAGGCATTTGGGATGGTGATCTTGAGCCACATGCGGTCCCGGACTTCCAGCCCAGACTCTGGGGCTGCCATGGCTTTGGTCACAGAGGCCATGTCCATATGGATAGAGAGACCTCGACCTTCACAGCCTGACAAAGGAGACAACAAAATCAAAGGGATCCCTCAGAGGTCAGCAGGAGGTCAGAGCACTGCTGGTCAGCCTTCCAGGAAGGGGGCTAGAGGCTCACCATCAGGGAGAGAGGATCCAGATGTAATGGTGCTCATGGATGAAGAACCCGGATAAGTAGGGAAGGTGCCAGTCAGCGCAGCAGAATGCGACACCCAGGCAGCAGGGTCAATTGGCTGGATGGGCTCATCTGGGACAAAGAAAGCCACCAAGATGATCACTCACTCCAGAAAACCAGCACGGACCCTCTAGAACCAGGACTCCTATTTCACCTCTTCCTTGACCTTTTCCAACTCATTCCCTATAACTTAGAGGCCCAGTCTGATCTCCTGGTTCCCCTAGTTTTTAAATTTTACTTCAGTTTTTAATTTTTTGTTGAAATTTTTTGTTTGCTTTTTTTGAAGCAGGGTCTCACTCTGTAGCCCAGGCCTGCCTGGAACTCACTATGTAGTTCAGGCTGGCCTCCAACTTGTGGCAATCCTCCTGTCTTAGCCTCCCAAGTGCTAGGATTACAAGCTTGATTGAGCCACCACGCCTGGTTTCCCTGATCTCTTAACTTCAGACCCCTGGCTAGACCCTTGACTTGAGCATCACTCACTTCGGGGAAGGGTGAAGTAGGCTTGGGGTGATGGATCCCAACACTTGGCCACAGTCAGCACAATGGGGCTGTGGGGAAGAGAAGGCCAGTCAATGGAAGTAGAGCAAGAGGCCTCAGGAGGACCAAAACCTGATGCAAGAAAGGATTAAGAGACAGAAAGAGGAGGGAGAAAGGAACACACATGGCTGGACTCAAGAAAGTAAGGGTGGAGGGCTCCACAATGTGGATGAGTCACCAACATGGGTAAGTTAAAAACATACTACTGAGTGAAAGCACACACTGTTCAATTCATTCACAGGAAGCGCAAAACAGGTAACACTGAACCATTTTGTTTCAGGATTCAGGCATGGGTGGAAAAACCATCAAGCAAAGCAAAGAATTTCCTGACCAAAGAAGTCAAGAGGGTAATTACTGCCAGTGAGGAGCAAAGAGGGTGGGTGTGAAAAGGAGTGCATGGGGGTGGATTTTCTGAGGTATCACCCACATCTGTTTCATGATTTAGGCCATGATGACATTTACACAGTCACTTACGATTTGCTACTATCATGCATTTTTGTTGCTCAAGTGTTATGCCTCACTACTAAAATGGCAAAACAAAGTTGAAAGGGCTTAAGAATAAAAGCCTAAGGACCTGAGACCACCAAACAGAAGCTCACCCTGGTTTGTGAACAATGTCTCTCAGAACCCGCACAGCATCATCGTTGCTCATGTTCTCAAAGTTCATGTCATTCACCTGCAAGGAAGAAGCAGGTTGGAGCAGAGTAGGAAAAACAGAAGCCCTGCCCCAGTCAACAGTCCAATCCTTCAGCACACCTGCAAAAGCATGTCCCCAGGCTCGATGCGGCCATCAGCAGCCACAGCTCCCCCTTTCATGATGGAGCCGATGTAGATGCCTCCGTCACCCCGTTCATTACTTTGGCCCACAATGGAGATGCCCAGAAAGTTGTACTTCTCTGTGGAGGGAGTCCATGTAAGAGAACTAAGCCCTAGGAACTTTGGAGACTCTCTTCCCCCTCTCCCAGCCAGGACCTTCCATACCCATGTTGAGTGTGACTGTGATGATGTTGAGAGACATTGTGGAATCTGTGACGCTGCTGAAGGATGAGGTCTGTGGTAGGAAGGGGGGAAAGAGGTGGACTGCCCTTCAAAAATGCACAGATAAGCCCCAGGCTTCTATGTCATAGGCCCACCTTAACTAAGACCCATTCGTCCAAAAAGAACCCTCACCCTCTCCATACGAGGTGGTCGTTGCTTCCTTCGCCTTCGGTGGCGCTTGAGGAGGCGGGAGGCACTACTCTGCTCTGTGGAGCTGCTGAACCTGACAGAGATTAGGAAGCATTTGGAGGTGGTATTGGTCATGGTCAAGAGAAACAAGGAGAGGACTGAATGGAAAGGAGGGTAAGGGAGGAAGCCCTGGGGACAGATGTGTGAAGCCATACCGACTCATGGTGTCATCCTCATCTGAATCCCCTAGGCTGGTACTCTCCAGCTCACTAGTCATGAGAGTAGAGGAGCTCTCGTACCCAGCCAGGTGGCGCTCCAGCCTTGAAGGGCCACTGGGCCTGTGGCCACCACCTACACATGAACAAGAACCTCAGGAGCTAGGCCTCCTACCCTTCACTCTCATCCAAGCTAGGGCTTGCCTCCCTTTCCAGCTTAGTCTATCCAGGCTCCAGGCTCTAGCACCCCTCACCGCCATGCTCACTGCTGTCTCTCCTTCGAGGTCGCTCCCGTCTCAGTGACACAACAGACTCAGTTTCTGTCTCAGGCTCCAGATTTTCATGACTGCTGGACACATTAGGGATAGATGGGTAGAGACTGTCTCCAATCAATGTTAGTAGGACAGAGCTCCAGATTCTTCGCCTCCCCTCTCCAAGGGTCTGGATTCCCTCCTTACTTCCCTCCCTGGATTCGAGAAATGTAAAGGCCTTACTGGAAGGATGGAGGCCTCGAGTCCCCAATGCCACTGGTCCTTTCTGGCGGCAAAGGAGGTAATGGTGGAGGTGGAGGCACCAGTTCTGTCCGAGGCTCATGGGCTGGGAGTGCCATCTCAGGTTGGGGATTATCCGATGACACTAGCTATAAGAGTGCAAATAAGAAAACATGGCCCCATGGGGCTAGAGAGATGGCTCAGCGGTTAAGAGCACTGGTTGCTTTTGCAGAAGACCCAGGTTCAAATTCCAGCACCCATATGGTGGCTAACAAGCGTCTGTAACTCCAGTTCCAGGGGACTGACCCAACACCCTCTTTTGCCTCCACAAGCACTACATGACATAAGTGTACTTACATAAGTGCAGGCAATACACTCATACATAAAAAATAAAAATAAAGAAAAATAATTTTTTTTGGTCTTTTCTGAGACAGGGTCTCCCTGCAGGCCCAGCTGGCCTGGAATTCATTATGTAGATCCTTAAACTCACAAAGATCTGCCTGCCTCTGCCTCCTGAGTGCTGGGATCAAAAGCATGTGCCACCACCATGGGTGGCTAAGGAAAATTTTTGAAAATCAAAATAACTTATGCTGGGCATGGTGGAAATATGGCTCCATCAGTCAGTGGCATAGAAGAACAGACTAAGAAGGATTAGAAGGGGGACAGGGTCTGAGAGACCTGAGGGAAAAGGCCAGAAAGAGCAGCCAGTATTTGACTAAAGAAGACTGGGGGGCTCCCACTGGCTCCCCAACTAGGCAGAGAAGCAGAAAGTCAGGGTCACCAGTGACTAGACAGGGGAAAGGCTGCAGAAATAGATTGAGGCTTAGAGGAACCTTACCCAGGAGACTACCCTTCCATTGAAACAAGGCAGGCGAGCGTTGTCATCTGAAATTTCTTCCTTCACCACCCTGACAAGAAACATGAAAGGTTAGTCTGGACTATACTTCCCCCAATCCATTCAAAGTCTCTCCCAATCTCCCAATATCCATCATCCAGCCCAAAAAACATTGAATCTCTCCTACACTGACTTTCCTCTGCTTTTTTTTTTCTTTCTTTCTTTTTTTTTTTTTTTTTTTTGAGGCAGGGTCTCACTGGAACTAGATATTAAACTAGGTTGGCCTTAAACTCACAGAGATCCACCTACCTCTGCCTCCTCGAGTGCTGGGCTTAAAGGCATGCACCACCCGCACAGCCTTTTTTTTGTCTTTTTGAAACAGGGTCTCCCTGTAGCCCCAGCTGGCCTGGAACTCATTATATAGACCAGGCTAGCCTCGAACTTTCAGAGATCCACCTGCCTCTGCCTCCCAAGTGCTGGGACTAAAGCTGAGTGCCACCACTCCCGGCCTATCTAGCCTTTTTTTTAAGACTTAAAATGTGTGTTATGAGTATGTCTGTGGTGTATGTGTCATGTGTATAGGGGTGTCTGAAGAGGCCAGAAAAGGGTTTTGGATCCCCTGGAGCTAGAGTTACAAGTAGTTGTGAGCTGCCCAAAGTGGGTGCTAGGAACCAAATCTGGGTCCTCTGCAAAAGCAGTGAGTACTCCTAACTACTGAACCATCTCTCCAGTCCTATCCAGGCCTCTGCTTTTACATGGAAACTACTTGCTTTCTCATATAAGAATCTGTAGATTCAATTCCCTTATTTTATCATCTTTCATCAGCTCATCCTCAGAGGCACAATGCTGCTCCAAAGACTTCCTTTAGGGGCTGGAGAGATGGCTCAGCAGTTAAGAGCACTGAGTGCTCTTGCAGAGGACCAGGGTTCGATTCCCAGCACCTACATGGTGGCTACAAACCGTCCTTAACTCCAGTTCCAGGGGACTCTGAAGCCCTCTTCTGACCTCTATAACACTGCACGACATGGGTGCACTCACATACATGCAAGCAATACACTCATACACATAAAATAATAAATAAAATATTGATAGAAAAAAAAGACTTCCTTTAATCTGATCCAAACCTCAGTACAATTTCAAAGGCCATCTCCTATGGGTCCCCAGCTGCTCAAAATATCTAACTTGGGAGCCTTGCTTTCAGTCTCCCCACCCCTATTTCTGTACTCTACACACCTGCCCCCAAAAGGCTTTGGCCCTCATGTAAGTCTCTACTGCCTTTAGCTCTCTAATGCATATCAAGAGAGCTGCCCACATGTAAAGTCTCTGCTGCGTAATAATACCCATTAGATGAAACAATAATACCTCCTCACTAAGAGAGCTCCCAAGGAAAGTGGGAGCTGGGCTTCCCATTCCCCAGTACTTTACCTGGGAAAACTCTGCACTAAGCAATCTGCTCAGCCTGACAGATCCCAAAGCCCAGCCTTAGGGGTCATTTGTCCCACAGGTTCATGCAGTGGACTGGACTTGCTCCTCAAGCCCCACAACAAATCATTACCACTACTCTATTCAACATGTCCTGAGTGCTCAGCACCATCCCTGACACCTCAATAAGCATCAGCAAATACATGCTGACTAAATGAAAAATAATAACCTTATGAACCATGAGGCTCTCTTTCACATATACACACCCTCACCCTCAAATTAGAACTTCTTGTCTGACTAACTCTAGCCTAATATGCTCTAGGAACCTCGGATATTTGTCATATAAATACATTTGCTGTCAAGACAACAGAGTCCAGTCACTATCAATCCGTCCAGCATAATACAGTATTCTTCCCAACATAACCCAACCTCAGCATAGCTCAGTCTACTTCAAAGCAAGCAAGTTTGCATCACTATAATCTAGTCTATGGACTAGTTACCTCAATACTAAATGAAAATTACCATTCACCAAGAATTTACCATGTGCTATGCAACTAAATTAAGAATTTTACACTATACTTATCACCATCCCACAGATGAAGAAATCAAAGAAAAGCTAAATAAATTGCCCCAAATTATAATGCTAACAAACAGAACCTTGATTTAAATTAAAAAGAAAAAAAACCCACCCTCCCTAGACATTATCATTCTCCCAATATTTAACAATCCTTATTGAGAACTCACTTTGTTCAGTTCTAGCTGAAGGAGATGTGCTCAGACACTCAGACAGACAGGAATCTTCACAAGTAAACAGTCTCTCTCTCATCCAGGTGGTAGATCACCTGTTCCTCACCAACACCTCCCATTCTCACTTCTGTCAATCCAGGATATCAGAACCTAATCTAGCCTACCTTCAAACTCTGTGCCTAGGGATCCAAGGCTCAGTCCCAACAGCTATAAAAACAAAAGGGCTTCTTGCTCTGCATTACTTATAGTCAGTCTAGGCCAAGATCACCCCAAATGTCCCAACTCACCCCAAGACAGCCCAGTCTATTCTAATACAGCCTACAGTGTCCCCACAAACAGCTGTCTGCACCAATATAGACTGCAATACCCCACTACAGCTGTCTATTAGCATCAACAGTCTATTTGTCTCTGTCTTGAGTGACTCAAAAAACCCATGTCTAAGCCAGCCATAGTGGCACATATCTCTAATTCCAGCACTCAGGAAGCAGAGGCAGAGGCAGGAGTCACCCCACAAGCTCAAGGCCAGTCTGGTCTACATAAGGCAGCCTTGCCACAGAATGAGATCCTGTCTCAAAAAGAAAAATAAAGAAAAAAAAAAAAAAAAAAGTACAACTAGCTTTAAAGGAACCTCAGACCAACCCCATAGAGCCCAGAGTGGTGTAATTTTCGCCAGAAAAACTACTCCAGTGCAGCCTAGAACACCCGAATAAAGCCCTGCCTACATTACTACAGATTGCAATGTCCCAAAACAATCCTATGGGACTCAGAACACTCCAGAATAGCTTAAACTGCCTCAGTACAGTCCAATCCATAGAGACATGCCAAGTATAGTGTGGTTCATGCCTGTAAAATTCCAGCCTGGGATACAGAGTGAGACCCTGTCTCAAAACAAAAAGAAAAACAAGCAAACTACAAGACAATACAGAATATCCCTACAAAGCCTCTGTGCACATGGCTGAGGGCATACCAAATTACCAAGATGGATCAATATAAACTCAATACAAGCCAGAATATCCCCAAACATCGCTTCTTGGTCTTTTGGCTAAAACCAAGTGCAAACTATCTCCCAAACAAACCAGTGTGCCCCGTCTATTTCAGCCTAATCTCTCATCTGATTTATTAAAGTCCTGCCCGTCCTTCTGAAACTCCGTGTGCCTCTGCCCAAGCATAAGGTTGTCCGTCCTGGGATAGGCAATCTACCTCAGTAGCATAGTACAATATGCTTTGCTCCACTACAGGACAGAAAAATTCCAGGGTGGATCGGTTCTCCTCCACATCTCCCAATCCACTCCAGCACAATCACCGTCCTTCCCAGGCTAGGCCTCGCGCTTACCCAAAATCCTGATCCATAGACTTGAAAAAGTACTTAGCGCCGGCGGGCCGCTGCAGAACGCTTTTGAAATCGCCGAGGGTGATGCGCTCCGCGGGGACTGGGATCTTCACCAGGTAGGGAGTCTCCTCCTCATCCAGGTGGTAAATCACCTTCGTCTCCCCGACACCACCGCCCCCCGCACTGCTGCCCGCCATGGTCTCGCCCGCGCGCGCCCGGGCTCCGCCGCCCACCCAACAGGGCTAGACGCCCCCGCCGCGCCTGCGCACACTCGCAAACCGATTAGCCAGCGCCTACACGCCCGCGCCGTGAGGATGATGCGCCCAGGGAACAAGGCGATAGGCAGCGGGGTAGCAGCGACAAGGGCCACGCAGTGCGACCCCGAATCCCGGACTCCACCGCCAAGGGCCGCCGCCAGCGCAGTCGCCAGCACTCCCTAGGTCCCCGCCCACTTCTCCCCGTGCCACGTGACGCAAGCCCGCCCACATTGCGTAGCGCCCGGCATCACGTGACCTCCCGGGATCACGTGACGTGCAGGACCCGCCTGAACTCCTCCACGAGATAGATGCCTGGAGCAACGGGTCTCCTAGACCTAAACGACTCCGTCCCCAAACGTCTTACCCCAAGTACATTAACTAACCTGGCTTCTATCTCGGAATGCAGACATTAGCTCCCACTTAGAATTTGCCCTCCCAGGCGGAGCTCCAAGCACCCCGAAAAGCGGGCTATTGGGGCGGGGGGTGGGGACATGCAAACCAATTTGATCCCTAGGGGTTGTTACTCTTGTGTCCTGAGATGAGAAAGCTGAGCTGGTTCTTTTCAGATTTGACCTGAGGCGATACCTGGACCGCGACAGACAGACAGACAGACCGACACACACACACACACACACGTGACGGGACGGGACGACACACGACACGGGACAGCAAAACATGCCGTGGACCTAAGACTGAATCTCAAGTCCCCAAGCTGGCCTTGGCCCCTAATTCTTCCATATTCACCTTCAAAGTGCTGGGATTACAGCCCAGCCTTAAAGGACTATGAGAGGTGGGTTTCAGCCCCAAGTCCAGCAGGTCTTTTGTCAGCTTTTCCAAAGACCCACTCCCCAAACAGGACAGTGAGGGCTGTAAAACACAAGAGCCCACTGCTTTATTTACAACACGCAAGCTATCCCTACAAGCAGCTGGCCGATATTAAAAACAAGCAATCATCCCCACCTTTTTGCTTTCCTCCCTCACTCCACCAGGCTATGGTACTCCCACCTTTGAGCAGCTACGCTCAGAAAGGGGAAGCCCAAAATGAAAAACATAACCGGTGCAGAATAAAATAAATGGAGTGAAAAGAAGATGAGGAGGGGAGTGCTATATTTACACTAAAATTTTATAGACAACTATCCCATTACATCCCAATTTGAGCCCTGGCCCTGAAAGTGAGGGGTGGTTCAAGGGACAGAGATTTCGTCTACAGATTCAGACAGCCTCCCCAGACCCAATCCAACTGCAGTGGGTCCAATTTCAAGTCCATGGAGCAGAAAAGATTGAGAAGACATTTCCAAACAAGTGTCCCTTAGAAACTCCAGTCTTGAAGTGGGGACCATCTCCTCCATCCAAGGGACAGGCTGAAGACCCTGAGGCTCAGTTCCCAAGTCATGTCAAAAGTTCCAGCCTAAATGGTAATGTCAGGGCTCTCCAGATTTGGGAAGACCCCCTAACCGCCGGGCCTCAGGCCGCAGTTCCTTGCATTTCTGACAATAAAAGAAGTCAGGGACATTGGTCTTCTTAATCTTAGCACAGGAGAGATGGATCCATGTCCCACACAGGCTGCATTCAATCATGGGCCGCCCAGCAAAGGGTTTTCTGCAGTAACATGTGATCAGATCCCAGGAGTCATCACCTAGGAAAAAGAAGGTTGGTTTGGCGTTCTGCTTAAAGGCTTGCATCCACAACATCCCCCACACCCATCATCCTAGCTGCTTAGCTGCCCACTGCCCCTGGGTGGTCCCAAACCTCTCACCTGATTCTACCATGATGTCCTCATCCATGACCCTCATCTCGCCTTCACTGGAGCTGGCATCTCCATCTTGGCTTGTTTCTGTGCTGCCTACTTCCTTTCCTTCACTGTCAGTGGGGGGAGCCCCTTCAGGGTTCACTGTGGCAGGGGGCCTAGGGGCTTCAGGGGGTGTTGGGAGCACAGGGGCTGGGGTTTCACCCCCCACCACTGCTGTCATCTCTTCATCATCATCATCCTCTTCTTCCTCTTCATCCTCCTCTTCAGAGTCTGTATCACTAGGAGGTGCCCGGGGTGGGCCAGGAGCTGGGAGTCTATCCCCTCTCTCTCCCTTTTTCAACTTCCGTTTCTTGCTCTTCTTGATTCGAGACCTCTTTTCCCCATCCCCAGGAGCTGGCCGTGGCCTCCGAAGAACCCCAAAGCCAGCCCCACCTCCTGGCCCCAACTTTCGGTTCTTTCGGTCCTTCTTTCGGGGCTGGGAGAGATCCCCTTGGGAAAGCGGCACTGGGGTGAGAGCAGCAGAAGGGCGGGAGGTGTGTGTCAGAGATGAGGGGGACAGTGGAGATCCCACTTTGGGTCCATCCAGATCAAACAGAGAGTCCTTGAGCTTCATCTTCTCAAGCAGAGTGGCACTGTCAGGGGCCTGTAGACGAGAAAAAGTGGACCTTGGGGGTCCTGGCTGGGTAGGACCTGCTTGAGCTGCCCTTCTCTTTGATGACTTTGCTTTCTTAACAAAAGTCTGGATAGTTCGAAGATCCGAGGGGGCTGAGTCCCAGCCATCACTGTCTGCTGCACTCTCACCTCGCAATGGAGAGCTAGAGCCAGAGGCTGGCCAGTCGCTTTCCTTAAAAGGAGCAAGATACCAGATTCAGCAGGAGTCTAGTGACACCTCAGGCCCTCCACAAATCCAGCCTACAAACCAGGAACCACATCTACTTCTACCCCAAGGTCTGACGTGTACTCTAAAATTTACCTTCATCCCAGTTTTCACCAGCATCTCCCCCTGTCAACCCCCATATTACCTGTAGCATATCATATCCCCAGTGCTCTCTGCCTAGAGCCTTTAGAACAACTTCATGCCCCAGGTCAGAGCAACATTACTTTAACTGTTTTGGTATCTTTGTTTGCTAATCTATTCACCTCCCTAAAACAACCAGAAAACACAACGCAAAATCTAAAATCTTGATCAACAACTCAAAATCTGCTTTCTTCCTGCTGCTCAAGCCAGCTGTTATCCCCTCTCCTATGCCAGCTTTTCCACCACAATCCCAAGACCTTCTAGTTTCCTCAGTCTTCCACATCATTACGGGTAGGCTCTTCCTAAGGTAGTATACTGTTGAGGTGACAGGCTGACTCCAGCCAGTTGCTTTTCTGTTCCCTACCTCTTTGCTAGGGGGGATGTAACCAGCATAGGCCAAGACAAAACTGCAGAATTTGTTGAAATCCTCAATTGTTCTCCTACGTTTCTCTGGCGGCTGAAAGGAAGGAAACATGGATCACATGGAAGCCACACACTAATGTTAAAGGGGCATGCCCCCAAAGCACAACCCCTAAAATGAAGAATCCAGAAAAAGCAGAGGTATTGTCAACAGTGATAACTGGCTGCCAAGGCTAGTTTATCTCACCTGAGTCTCTGGCTTCAGAGTCGGAGGTGGATCTGTAGAAGCAATTAAGAGCTGAGTCAAGGCCTGGGGAAACAGTATGGTAAAACCCCACCTCTAAACCTTGGCGGTCCCAGCAGAACCCATCCACTCTAAGGTCGCCAGGCAAAACCAGGCGGCCCCCAGCTGTGCTGGACCCGCCCCTGCTCTCCCTTCCGCCCCAAGGGGCGGAGTCTGGGCGCGGCGCCCACATTGGCCTCGCTATAGCGCTCCCCTTCCCCCAACCGCAGGCCCGGAGCCCCGCCTCCGCCCCCCCCTCAAGCCTCACCAGTCTACTCGGCCCTCTCCGCGCCCCACCCCGCCATACCGCTCCCGGGGCAGAGCCTAGGCCACCGCCTGCCCCCGTCCTTCACATGCGCCCGGAGCCCGGAGTTTCAACCCGGCTGCGCTCCACCGCCCGGGCCCTCCGAGAAACGTACACGCCACCCGGTGGCCCCCAGGGTCCGGGATGACCACGCTGAACCGCTCCCCGCCTTCCGGCCCCTTCTCCACCACGAGGCCGGGCGCGCCCCTCACCCTCACCCAAAACACACACGAGCTCACACTCCCAACACTACTTCGCGTCCGGGACAGACCGAGCTCAAGCCCGGACACGGCCCCACCT